CGGACCAGGCTCTCACATCACCAAGCGCGAAACGCCGTGAGATGTTCGGCAAGTCAAGGTTGCGCTGCATCCTGCTATGGGTGGTCGGCATCTCGTGCTACTTCCTTGCGTACGGATGACAGCTGCATATGACTCAATTTATTTCTGGTGCTTTCACTTCCAGAAACAGTTATGAGCACTGGCTTGTGCAACTGCCTCGAGGTTGCTTGACCATTTTAACACAACGTGGTGCGATCATCCCCCTTGCGCGTAGCGAGGGTTCTCCACCNGGGGGGGGGGGGGGGGGGGGGGGGGGGGGGGGGGGGGGGGGGGGGGGGGGGGGGGGGGGGGGGGGGGGGGGTGCGTGATTTTAGGCCCTCCTCTGAGTGGGCTTTGAAGCACGTCTCAGGAGAGCGGTAGGACCTCGAGGTTTTGCACGACCAGACAGACGTCGACTGGACCAAATCTTGAAGCGAAGGCAGTAAAGTATCGTGACCGTTGTTCTTGTTGTACGAACGAAAAGTAAGCTCGGAACTCTGTTGCAGTCCACGCGGCCAGTTGTGTGTAGGAAAAGGTGACACGTATCACCCCCAAGAATCGCTTGAGAAGGCGAGCCTCTGGGCACCCGTCTTGTATGTGGAGATGGGAGGGCCGGGGCGAAGGAGCGGGACGCATTGGCGCTTGCGTTCTGTCTTGAAGGCTCTTGCAAATGCTTTTCGTATTGATAGCGACAGAACATGCGTGTGTGTGCTGGTTCGATGGTGGAGCTGTGTAGCAGCACCGCATCACCACCACACCATCCACACCTACTCATCCTTGAAGCGCATGTCGTACGTGCTCTCGCCTTGATGCGACGGCAACCTGCCCTTTGTTGCTTACGCCCAACCTCTGCTCCTGCCCACGCCTCTGCTTTATTTCCCTGTGGCTCCCGTGCCTTCTTTCTACTTCCTGCTTGCTGCTCATGGTGCGCTCCCTCCACAACTGCTAACTCGCAGGAGAGATCCTTGCCGTTCGAGGGCGAGAAGTTCTCACCGCAGTGCGCGGACCCCAACAGACGGCCGGACATGCCGGAGACGGGACTGATCGATCCGGAGGAGGTCCGCCTCGTCTACGTTATCCTCGCTCACGACGCGCCGGCTCAGATTGTTCGGTGAGATCTCTCGTGTGTGGTTTGTCCCTTACCCTGCGCCTAAGAACTCGTCCACGCTGTGCTTGATTGACTCCTTGCTGTGGTACGACCCTCTTTGTGCTACCGAGTTGTACCAACGTATACAACAGTCCATTTTCGATGTGCTGGCATGTTTGCGTTTTGTTTCTTCGCTACCACCGTGTTTCGACCACCACAAGGCGAGTCTTGTCGCCCTCGTGATGCCTTGGGTCGTCCTCACTTTTGTCGCCACTCTCCTCGGGATCTTTTTTTTCCCTCCTCATCTACCACCGACGCTGCCTCTGGTGTCAGTGACATGATGATGATGATCGCGCTGCAGCGATGTGCAGACGGGATATATTGACTTCTTCCGTTCGTTTCATCTCCGTTGCCCCCAGGGACCCGCGATTTTTCATGTTCTCTTGATTTCCCCTCGTAGATGAAGACCAACAAACGTCGTTATCCCGGATCGCGCAGCCTAAGCCACGCCGAGCGTGTACGTACAGCAAGGGAATGCTGCCCGTCTTTGGGAAAGCGCGCCTCCATAACATTTACGCTTCCAAGTCCAACATAACGAAATACCCTCTGTTGGGTGACTTTCCCTGTCCTTCGGCTCTGACGCTTGTAGACTAATCTTGGGCCATGATCCAGCTGAAAAAAATGCCATTCCGTGGCTGATTCTCTTCTTCTGTGTATCTTGTGTGTATGTGTGCCAAGGCTTGTGGACGCACTAGACGATACCCCCGGGCGTGACCGTACGTGGTTCGTGATCCACATCGACGCCAAGGCGGACGACGTGCAGCAGGAGATCAAGAAGGTCTTCATCGACCGGCCGAACGTCATCATCATGGAAGAGGGCAGGTGCGTGTGTGTGTGTGTGTGTGTGTGTGTGTGTGTGTGTGTGTGTGTGTGTGTGTGTGTGTTCGTGTTTGTCTGTGTGCGTCTCTCGAATTTTCATCGACCGCGCCAACCGGCTGACCGTTAAAAACGCGTGTTTGTATTTTGTTTAATTTGCATCGACCGCGCTGGCCGACCGACCGACCGATATATAGACGTTAAGTCCTAAATAAAGTGGCTATCATTTACTAACGGAAAACTGCTCGAGGTTGTGATCTGGGCCCCTGTGAACGTGGGTGTACGTGTGTCATTGAGTGGCATCGACCGCGTTAACTGTCTGACCGACGATATGCTAGCTTTACAAAAAGACAACAACGAGGTCCCTGAAGGGTGTGTGTGTGTGTTTTCGTGGGAAAGGCGACCTACAGTATGGATGTGGTACAGACACACGCGTGTTTCTGTTATGGTAGTCGAACGTTCAGTGTGATTTTTTTGTTCGTTCTCGCCTTTTTTTCGAGGTGTGTGTGTATATGTGGCAAGGAGGAGAGGGAGTTGTATATCTGCGTGTGGGGAAGACCCATGCAATCGCATAGCTGGTAGCAAGACGGGTCTTAACTTGGTACCGCTGCCTTAGAACCGAGATGTCGTGCACGTGGTTCAAAGTCGACTTTCGTCCCAGGCGCGCTACAAGTAGCACGAGATGTTGAAGGTTCCGGCGCCACAATAGCCTTGCTGAAAATCTGGCGTTCATGGCCGAACTGTCTCCGTCCCCACCGCCGCTTTCTACATTGCGTGCGCGCGCGGGCAAACTCCCACTGCTTCGTGTGATCGCCACAACCGATCGAACAAATCAAACCGATCGGATCGGATCGCTCGCAGGCTGGACGTAGCCTGGGGGGGGTTCAACGTGGTTCAGGCGTCTCTGAACGCGGTGTCCCTGGCCCTGGAGAGAGAGATACCGTTCCACTGGCTGTGGATACTGAGCGGGACGACCTACCCGATCGTGTCCAACGACGCCATCCGCGGAAAGCTGTCTTCGCACCACCCGGAGTCGGTGAGTTGGTCGCGCACGCCCCCTGAACCTGGTGCTGGCGGTTGTTGTTGTTGTTGTTGTTGTTGTTGTTGTTGTTGTATGTTTTGGTGATGATGTTGTGTTGCAGATGTTGTAGTTCGTTGCACGCTTTGACGTCTCTGACGAGGTTGTGCCCGGTTTTGTACACAGAAAAGGTGAGAAGACTATTCTTTTATTGTTGGAAGTTGCATGGTGTTCTACGTTCGCATCGTCGGCGGGAAAAGGTGCAGGAGGGTTTTTCGGTCTGCTGCGACACTCATATTCCTCTCCCAGCGGAGAAGGCATACCAGCGGGAGAAAGCATATAGGGACTACGGCACATCCCAACACGGTTGTTGCTGTTAATTTACCGTTGGTGCTGTTTTGATATTGCTGTGCCACAACAGGGTATTCAGGAGGCTGATGCCCATCTCGTCCATGTGACAGTTCCTTTTCACCTCATTGCCTCTTTCCTTGGCTGCTGCTGCTGCTGCTGCTGCTGCTGCTGCTGCTGTTACTGCTGCTGCTGCTGCTATTGCTGTAAATACCTTGTCATCCACTGCTGATCCTTTTCTTTTCTGAAGATCTTCATGGAGGTGAAACCGTCGGTGCACAAGCCAGCGTCCACGACGTGGCACTACTTCGTCGAGTGCGACTCGGCCCTCCACCGCATCGGTCGCAACCTCATCCCGAGGGGCCTCGACATGTGAGTGACATCCCACACGATGATACGGTTTTCGCGAGACTCTAGGCTTGCCGTTGTGGTTGCTGTTGCTGTTGCCCCCTCTTTTTTGAAGGCAGCTAGCTCCCAAGTATCCCGTTTCGTTGGCGGGGTTTGGCGTTTGGTCCAACCCAACCTTGCGAAGAGAAGCAGTGGGCAAAGAATTCCAAGATATGGCCTACAAGGGAGAACCCCTCCCTCCCTATCTACACTGCAGTGTGGTTCTTCGTTATCCTCCTTCTCTTCTCGCCTTGTTCTACCGACGATGCTCGAAAGGCTAGAACGTGCGCAGCAATGGCTGGGGATATCAGTTCTTCGTGTCGTCACAGGCGATCATACGGAGAAATAAATAGCGAGTCAATTCAGCGAGTGTTTCCCTATGTTTCTGTCCATGTTTGATCTCGTGATGAAATGTTAGCAAGATTTTCCTCTTGGTAGTCCTGTGTTAATCTCTGTCCATGATTGCTACAATGCGATGGCCACGTTTGACAATATTGCACGCACAGGTACGTCGGGTCGCAGTGGCTGGCAATGCCCCCTTCCGTCGCCCGGTGGCTCATGGAGGACACGGGCCTGGTGCCCAAGTACCGCGAGTACGCCAAGCACATCGTCGTTGCGGACGAGAACTTCCTGCCCACCGTGATCAAGAACTCTCCCTTCTGCGGCAACCTCGTGTCCTCCAACCTCGTCCACGTGCAGGTTAGAGGAAAAGGGGAGGGGTTGTGTACTACGAAGCATTACACTCTGAGCAGGTGGGGGGGTCGGTGTATGAGACAATGCTGTGGACGGGAGGGGGGGGAGATAGACGTCGAAAGTCGACTTTGCATAGGCCTTCGATTCTTGTTCGTGGAGATAGAGCGATAGAGAAACAGGCGGGGCGGAGGGGGGTTGAGAGATTAATATCTAGGAGACTTTTGTTTTTTGTCTTCGTTGGGGTGTCATGTGTCTGTTTTTGCTGCTGCTGGTTGGGGCGTTGGCTGGTACTGTTGGTCGAGAACCCTGCTGTCGCAGTTACCCCTGCGGCCCTAGCCCTTGACATATCAAATGCCATCCCATACCTCCCCCTTCAATCCGCTGACCTCTCTCCCCCACGTGCCCCCCTCGTCGATGTGCCTACCCTACATGCGTGCGCATGTTTTCAAGTTCGACAAGTACGAGCACACGTTGGACAGGGAGGATCGGCGAGCGGACAAGTGCCTCATGCCCAACCCGGACCACTGCGGCCGCTCGCCCGCCACGATGACGGTGGACTACCTCTCCGTTCTCGAGCACAGCTCCATGTCAGTTGATGTCGCCGTTGTTGTAGTTGCTTGGTTGTCGTGGGCATGGCGGCGGCGGTGTAGTTGTTGCTCACGGTGACGTTGCCATTGCGCTGGAGCTTCCGTCGCCACTACTGTTGGGTGTTGGTGTCGTCGCTTCGAGATTTTAGGAAGTGGTGCTCTTGGCTACGGTTTCATCTTTCACAGCCCAACGAGGTTATCCATCCACCATCCATCCGCAAATGTTCGAAACCGTCACCTACCCGTAAGGCGTGTACTAAGCCTTCACCAAGCCAACCCCACCCCTTCGGACCAACCCCCTACAGATCGTTCACCCAACCCAAAGGAGCTTGGTGTAAAGAACAGGTTTTATCTTGAGTGTCAATGACATCTCAGCCATACCAAAGTTGTGTTGATGCGCCTTTTCCATTTCGACGGCGTCGTTGTAGCCACCCCCCTGCCATGCACAGCGCTCTCGTCTCGCTATCCCCGTTCTCCTTCAGCCCTTCGTGTACCGCGTTTCCTCGCGCACTCAACCCGATCGCGTGAGGAGAGCTCGACCCAAAGTCACAACATCCGATCCGTACATCACCAGTGGCTGGCTGGCTATGGGCTCCCGAGACGATATTTCGACGATGCTACACGTACACGCGCATCAAATACCCTACCTTCAATTTTTGTTTCTCTGACTGATCGTCGAGACTCGGCAGTTTCGTAACATATTCTGCTTTGTTTTTGTTTATCTTGCCGCCATCTTTCCTTTTGGTGTAACTTTTTTGTGTTACAAATCACACATCCACATTTATCTTGTTCTGTAAATGCTTATCCTCTTCTTTTTTTTGTTTTTGTTTTTTTCGTCCGTGCAAGGCTGTTCGCGAGAAAATTCGACCCGAAGGACTCCCAGGTCTTCGACGTTCTCGACATGGTCCGCGACGGCGGCCAGGCCTGGAGGGAGGGCCCCACCTTCGACTACATCTCCATCCGATCGCCGATCATCCATTCGTCGAGCGCGGGGGCGGACGAGCACTTGTGTCTGAGTGTCGGGCCCCCACCGCCGAAGCAGCCGGGGAGCCCTCCAAACACAGAGGCGGTGATGGTCAAGTGCTCCGGCGCGGACCCTCGTCAGATCTTTAAGCTGGGGCCCTGCAGTGAGTATTTGGTGGGCGCGGGGGGGGGTGGGGGGGGAAGGATCGTTCTTCACGTGCCTAACGAAAGGGTTTGCATGTTTAGTTGGCGAATTTTCCATGGGGGGGCGCTAGAGTTTGAGGCGAAGGTTCTTGCGGGAGGGGGGGGTGAACGCGCGCTGCGCGATGGTAGAAACGAAGGCGCTGACGTTTCGCTTTGATTTTCACGGCGGTCTCTGGAGATGGCCGGGAAACCGAGAGCAACCAAGGAGTCGACGACTAATAGTACCACTGTTGGGCTGCTGTAAAGTTTTTTTTTATGTCGTTGCGCCAAAGACCCTCAAAACCCTACAGCATCCATGGTGCGCAACCGCGCGCCGCCCCTCTTCTGCCACCGGTGCATCTCTCGTCTGTGCTCCACCCCGCCCCCTCTTTTCCCCCCTAAGAACTCCGCTCTTTGCCGCCCCTCCCCCCGCCTGACCTCCCACTACGATGAAGCTGTTCTTGTCCCCTCCTCACTCCCCTCAATTGCCCTTTGCCTTTGGCCTCCGCGTTGGTGCGATATTTGATCTTTTTGATCCGTCACAGGTTCTGATGGTGACCTGGAGCTAGGAGAAGGGGGAAATGGGTACATGAAGGTTAGCAGACGTTTGTTCTTCACGGGGTCAGGAGGCGGAGGCGGGGGTGCGCTGATTCTTGACATGTAGTTCCTAGAGCGCTCGTTGAGCGCGCATGTCCTGTGGTCCGAAGCTTGGCATCGTTAACGGCACGGCGACCGGTTCCTAGAACGGCGACGCAGCAAGCCCTCTCCATGTGTGCTACTGGATAACGTTAGTTTTCGTCTGTCTGTCTGGCCAGCATGCTGGAGACTAGGTAATTAAATGTGCTTCCGCATTTTTTTGCCCGTGAACCCCCCCCTCTACCCAACACCCGCCGTATGAACGCTTCATGTGTAAAAGTCGGCGCGGGGGAGCATGTCGGGACGTGCTCCGTCGTGCTCCATCATGAGCTTGGTGGGGTCTTGCCTGGACTTGTTGGGTGAGGCAAAGGGGTACGGGGCTCCCGCTATCGCGTACAAGTGAGTGTTGTTGTTGTTGTTGTTGTTGTTGTTGTTGTTGTTGTTGTTGTTGTTGTTGTCGTGATTATGTTGTCTCTGTCGCTGTTTTTGTTGTTGATTGTTGTCTTTGTCGCTGTTGTTGATTGTTGTCTTTGTCGCTGTTGTTGATTGTTGTCTTTGTCGCTGTTGTTGATTGTTGTCTTTGTCCCTGTTGTTGTTGTAGTTGTGTGTTGTTGTTACTGTTAGTCTTTCGTATCCGTTGCATCATTCAGTTGGTGCTTGTGGCGTCAGCTCTACTGATCACCAACAAAAATGTCGTGGATATGAACAGACACGCTGATGTTTGTTTTCACTCAATGGGTGGTTGTGGCACCCGTTGAGGAGAACAGAGGGTCTCGTCTCATTACTAAGTGCGTCCCAAAACCTGAAAAATAAAAACATACCCAAAACAAAAACATATTGTTGCCTTGATTAGATGCCCTCAGAATTAATGTCTTGGGTTTACATTTGCACCCTAGGTGTCACAACCGGTGGAACCAGTTCTTCAGCTTCGGGGAGGGTGAGCTGGAGGGACACTTGCTGTCCATTGTACCTCGTCACCTCCACATGGCGGATGATCTCACGGAGGGCGCGCTTTGTCTCGAGGTGATGAGTTGGTTTTCGGTGCGGCGGTTTTAAAACACCAAAAGCAGGATGTCGTTCTCGGCACAAGAAAAAACGATCCGTCCAACTCTGGCTCGTCTGCTGCCACTCTCTCCTTGCTTTGCTCGGGTTTGTCGTCTGAACGCCGTTTCTGTATTGCAAGGTCGAAGCAATGAATCCCTGTTCTGTTGACTTCATGTCTGTTGCTCAATACTTCAAAGTATGTTGCATCTCGCGTCGTTGATATGTAACCGAGGCAACAGCAGTTCTTGCCTTGCGTTTTGGCGGTGGCTTACAAGTTAAGTCAAACTTTCGTCGAAAGGGGTCACCTGTTGACTGCTGGTGTCACTGTCCCCAGGTGATGCCGAGTAACTGCTCCTCGCCCGAAGTTCCGGAGTCTTGCCACTGAGCATGCTGATTTTAGTATTAGCGCGTGATGCAGCATTGCGTAGCCTTCTTTTTTTTATTTCCAGTATTTGTGTCTTTAGATGGGCCCTCAAGCGTGTATCTAATGGACCCTCAAACGCTTATCCATGCGCCAGTATCGCCTCCAGAGTGCTCACAAGTACAGATCCGAAACAGCGTCGTTTAAGCACACCACATGTCGTGGACGCGACCTTTGTCATGAACGAGTATCAAATTCATCGCGCTCTGCGTGCCGTGTTCTGTCTTTTTCATTTTTGCTTATTTTCGATGGTAAAGTTCTGTTTCTTGGAGAGGACATCGCTGAACCTGCTCCTCCTCGTAGCCTCACGGATCACTTTCTTAGCTTCTCCCCAGGCACTCCTTGGCGACGCGCGTAGAAATGTAGTCGCTCGCGGGACTCCTTCATCTTTTTCTAGCATAACAAAAAACAAACAAAGACCAACCTTATTGTACCCCGTTCGCAGAGCGTGGACGAGGGTTCCGGAGGCATCGTCATCAAGACGGCCGAGTGCTCGCCGGACAGGTGCGACGTGTCTGTATTCTTCACATTGTCACGCATGGAATGCATCCACCAAAATTGCGTCCCTTTGACGTCATTTGCCCGACGGCGGTACGATGGTGAAAGAAGAAAATGTGTGGTAATACGGTAATTATAGGAAACAAGGTGTGGTATGTAGTCAAGAATAAAATGTGTACCATCGACGTGTTTGCGAAGGAAACAAAATTCGCTATTTTGATGCTGTTCAGTTTAACAAAAATATGAAGTCTTTCCACCTTGCGCAGATAAAAATTAACATTTTTTGCGGACGCGGGTACGCACAGCTTCAAGAGGCACCGAATGTTGAATGCGCTTGTATACTAACAGCAAGTGTCGAGCCCAAGGAGCACATCGCTCCCCGCAGAACATCAACCAGCACAGCGAGCGTAGATATTGCGGGACAGATAGGTGCGGCAGGCGAACATCTGGCCCGCCACAGTCTATGATCTCAAGCCTGCCGAACTTCCCCGACACGTAGTGAGCAGTATCACCATGATGATGTCGCAACCACACAAGTTGCGTGCAAGCAAGGCGGAATGCAACCCGACGGCAGAGGCCCAGTAAGCAAAACCTGAACCGATCGTCGTGGGCAACCGCGTCCTGTGAAAACGCACAGAAGAAGTGGTAGACCCTCAAGCCCTCAAGAGGTTTCTCTCGATGCGCTCGTCCAAGGGCGTGTACCATGCGACCGTCAGCTCCCGGCTGTGTGATGACGGGGTCGGTATGTATGTATGTATGTATGTATGTATATATGTGCACGTATGTGTGTGTGCAGCAAGCTGCATGATCTTCGCTCTGCCGATCTCTCACCGAGTAGCTGGTATGCTTGGACCCAGCCAACAACACAACCCGCTATATACTTGTACAGTATGTAGGAGCACATGGCGTATGACTACTGTATATACCCACGACCGTGCGGTGTAGTAGGTCGTATAGGCTCGGCAGCGATAGCTGGCCTGGATGTACGTACGGTGTGCGGGGGATACACAGATGCTCGGGGTATCCGTTCGAGGTGGTCGTTGCCTGTACGCCACTTTGCAAATTTTGCCTGCAAGTTATTGTATCTGGCCATATTCAGCGACAAATTTTGGACAAATTTGCTTCGAAGGATTGTAAGTTACCCCGAACTGGTCGTCGTGAGCCAAATTTTGTTCTGCGCAAACACGTCATTTTTGCAAGATTTTGGTTGCGTTTGTTGTTCGGTCATGCGAATTGTCTTGTTGGTTTTGTTGTCGCGGCGAAGGAGAAAGGGAGCGAAGGTGACTCCTCACCAGGATCGCTAGCACGAGACCTTATCCGTTCACACCTGTCTTGTACGTACGATTTCCCGTACTGCTGTTGTCTGCCATCTAAGCGATAAAGCGGAGTTCATATTATAGTACTGCGTTTCTGCTTCGGCTGACGACCCCTCGCCTCCGTTCTTCTACTTTCCCCCGTATCAGGAACACCTTGTTTTTTTTAACACTTCTCACGCCCAATGCTGTGTCTGTTCCCCTCTTCCCTGTCTCTGCCCTTTCTTCGCCCGTACTTTGTGTCACTGCCCCCCCCCCTCCATTCACTGTTCTGCCCCGTCGCCTCTTGTCCACGCTTTGTCTGTGGACACGCACGAAACAACAACGCAAACGGGGCTGGGCTGCGACACCAACGCGAAAAAAAAACAGACCCGCGCAGAAGTTCAGCCTGGTTCAGGTGCAGCCTCCCCCTCGGGCAGAAACGAAACACAAGACGAGGATGGCTGCAACCACGTGAGGCGAAGGTTCTGCTGTTTGTGATGATGCTGCTGTGAGTGATGATGCTGCCGATGTTAGAGGTGATGCTGCCGCTGTTAGAGGTGATGCTGCCGCTGTTAGAGGTGATGCTGCCGCTGTTAGAGGTGATGCTGCCGCTGTTAGAGGTGATGCTGCCGCTGTTAGAGGTGATGCTGCCGCTGTTAGAGGTGATGCTGCCGCTGTTAGAGGTGATGCTGCCGCTGTTAGAGGTGATGCTGCCGCTGTTAGAGGTGATGCTGCCGCTGTTAGAGGTGATGCTGCCGCTGTTAGAGGTGATGCTGCCGCTGTTAGAGGTGATGCTGCCGCTGTTAGAGGTGATGCTGCCGCTGTTAGAGGTGATGCTGCCGCTGTTAGAGGTGATGCTGCCGCTGTTAGAGGTGATGCTGCCGCTGTTAGAGGTGATGCTGCCGCTGTTAGAGGTGATGCTGCCGCTGTTAGAGGTGATGCTGCCACTGTTAGAGGTGATACTGCCGCTGTTAGAGGTGATGCTGCCGCTGTTAGAGGTGATGGCTTGTGGTGGTGCGTTGTTTATCCCCCCACCATATGCACCTTGAAAAACGGTCCGTAATTCCCGCGTGTCTGTTGGACGAGAGGCACAAACAAAGCGCGTTGGTTGGTGTCCGTGGTGTGTTTTTTGTTTTTTTTTCTCCCGTGTCTCCTCTCCTCCCCCCCCGTGCCCCCGTTCCTCAAACACACACACACACCCCGCGACCCTCTTAACCGTGCCCCGACATGCCTGTCTGTGTTTTGATTGGATCGATCGCGTTCTTGTTTCGACGGGTGCCGCGTTCTCGAAAGCGACGAACTTTGACGTGAGAGAGCCCGTGCATTTTCCCCTGGAAGCGTCATCTGTCCACACCGTGTCGCTCTCTACGAACCAGACCCCGGCCCAAGCAGAGGAGTGAAGACGCCATGATGCACCTTACCTTATCGATAGTAGTTTTTGTCAACCATTTCTTGTTTTTTTGTGTCTTCTGGGGACCACATGATGACCTCCATTCGTTCGAGTGGAGTCGACTGGAAATGGCGTTCGTGCGCTGTGGTCTTCATCGGCTAGTGTCGACGTACGTACGTAAGTAGTGTAGGTGTGCGATTAATTTCGAAGATGTTACGAGTCACGTCGTGGTTGTTCTCGGCGGCAAGACCCGGCAGGTGCGCAGTATTGATGGGTTTGCGCCTCCTTTCCGCGTGCACACCTAAAATCAGGACTGTTTTCCTTGGATTGCGGGCCAGATCCCTCGTGCGGAACATATTTTGCGCGTGTGGGTGTGGAGGCTCTGTTGTTGTTGTTGTTGTTGTTGTTGTTTTTTCGCTCGTTGGCGTTGGTGGGGGGAACCTGTGTCTCTGTTTTTGGGTTTTTGTCTAGCCTTGCCAACCCCCCTTACCCAAACCTTGGGGGCAGACGCGGAAACTGCTGTTCTTGCGATGACGTGTGTATATCGCGCTGCCGTGATTGCGTGTCGACGAGTGTGTGCGTTCCACGTCTACACAGACAGTACACCAGAGCAGGGAGTGGGCCATCGCCATTCACAAACGTTGGTCGATGTTGGGGGAATTTGACGAGCTAATTTTTTTTCGTTGTCTCGAGTTCTCCGGAAGACCCAATTGGAGACGAGAGAGCCCCAGGAACAAACGAAGAAAGGTTTGAGACACGGTGGCCCCACGGGTCCTGGTCGTTGGCGGCCTGCCCTTCCCTCGGCGATTCGATCTTGTTATTTTATGCTGTGTTAAAGAGGCCTGTGATTTGATGCCAGCAACATAAAATTATCCTTGATGCGCTGAAAATCGCAATCAGCATCTATCTGGAGAACGCGAGTTTCAAGTTGCTGATGGCGCAAACCAGGCCATTTAACGCGATTGATTGTGTAGATCAGATGCTGATGCCCATTCTTGATCCGCATCACCATCAGCATCTGATCTCCACAATCGTGGCTAGAAGCAGCAGACTAGATGATCTCGCAAAAATGGTCTAGCCTATGCGAAAGCGCTAGTAACATCCATTCCTTCGACCCGCCGAAGGCGAATGCAACGAATCATCAAAGAAGATTGTTAGAACGGCTACACGTACCAACGTCGTGAAGACATATGTACCTCTCCAGTGCACAGCAGAAACACACGCGCGCCCGTCCGTGTGTTGGCGTGGTGGGCTCCAGTGCATGAACCCAAGCTACTCATCAAACATGTGTCACCGTTACCATCGCATCGCTGACGCGCGGGAATACCATGCGAGATTTCGGTACTACCGCGATAAGGGGATCTATGCACAGGAAACGGCACTTAGGATGATCTGATGCGTTTCAGGCAATTTTCTGAAGAACATGGGAGTACGCACTCCTCTGGCCTCTAGGGGAGGATGCCAACCAACCCCTCTGCAACGGACCGCGCAGAATCTCAGCGACCTTGATGGAATCTGTCCACATCTTTCTCAACACAGTGTGCCCACTCACGCACGCCCTACAAAATCTCGTCAAGCTTCAAATCGAAGGTGTTGTTCAGAAGGTCCAACTTGGGGTACGTTTCTCGGTGGACTCGTGGCCCCTCGGTGGGCTCGTTCAATGTTTTGGCCCGGCCTACCACGCCAACGTCATCTGGTAGTAGGTGCGCCGCGAGCTCAGGCACACCACGCCTCCTAACTTGCTGAATCACACACATGCAGCTAGGCTCGTGCGTTCCGTGTTGCCAGCGGTCTAGACTCAACCTCGTGCCCCGCCAAGACCTCCATCGCTTATTATTATGCATGGAGAGTATTCAGGGTACACGCAACTAGGTGTGGCCGACGCATGACGACCCGACACATGGCACCAAGTTTACACAGATTCTTGTTCCCGTTATCTGTTCGGTCAAACCATACACGGGAGACGCTTGAGGAATTGAACGCTGTCACCAACCCCTAATATTTACAAAGCGTCAACGTCCTCCAAACTAATCGAACAACCACTCGTTGCCTGGCCTTTCGTGGCAAGTGAACTCTAGACTTTTGAGTGTCGCACAAGAAGAAACCGTGGAAATTACCATCCACCGGTACCGCCCGACGCATCCGCGACTCTCCCTGATGATGCCACGCAACAATCGTCAGTATACTATTAATACATTGACGACACAACAGCCCGCGCCAGGAACCAGTGCTTCGTACTTACATGGGAAGAATCGTAGAAAAACGTGGTGCAGGAAGGACATAAAAGACACACCCGTCGCCGGAAGACCGACTCTACGGAAAACTACGAACTCTGGAAAAGAGGCGTGAACGGGGGAAAGGAACACGCAAATGTAGAAAAAGTGGTCACCAATAACGCCCGACGAACCAATAAATACTTGCTGTGTTGCTACTAACTCCCGAGCAAACCCCGCGAGGCGGGGCACGTTGAATGGCATGCCATTCGCTCGAAATCCGCCCCACTCTCTTGGTGTCCATGCAGCACTCCGTGATCTATTTTTTATGTCGCACAGGATGACTCCAAGCGCTGTGTTAGTTTAGGCCGCGGAGACAGCGAAATATCTCAACAAGGCAGTGGGTGCAGGCAGCGACAGCAACGGCTACTCTGTTGCTGCGCGCCACGAACAGAGAGTACCCAACTACACCCCTCTCCATGGTCGCCACCAGCAGCGCTACACAAGCCGATGTGCCGTTTGTCATCCACAACTCTTACAGGACCCCGGTATTCTGGTAGGACGCACGTTTGTGAATCGCCCCCACTCCTAACCCAACACACTAGACAACGGCGTGTGTGGCTGGCAGTGGAATCACGCTGCAAAGAGGAACAGCGATATGAGAGAGGAGAGACGACAAGAAAACACAACTATCAGCTCTCGTCCGACTTGGCTCGTGTCCTCCTGAGACAAAATTTTCTCTCGGTCGGACATACCCCAGCGGCGTTGCAGCAGGCTCCCCCCCCATCGGAGGAGCCGCCGCCGGCCCCGCCGCCCTCCCTGTCGCTGACGAAGTAAAAGCCGCCCACGACAAGGAAGGCCCCCAAGACCGCGAGGGGGTTCGGCACCTTCCCGTGCATGGCAAAGTCCGACACGAACGCGATCGGGATCGTGAGCGAGCACCCCACGGTGGCCACCGTTGGTGTCGTGAGCAGGATCGCTCGGGCCCACACTATTAGAAACATTGGTAACATTTGTAGCAGAAGGAAGGAGGGTGCGGGCGGGGGGGGGGGG